CTTTCGTTTTTGACTGATAACCGAACGCAAAATATCATTCCTAATCGCTTGTTATATATCAATTTCATCAATAAATATTCATGAAAATCATTTTTAAGAACATAGATAAATGATATGATAATGTTTTGTCGTGAGAAATATATATATCAATAACAAATCAAGAATACCGAAAATTTGTGTTAACGCATGCGGAAGAATATCTCAAGAACGTTTTGCGGGAAAATATGAATGCCTACTCAAATCCAATCTATTAGAAAAATCGAATTATTACAGAAGAGTGTCCACCATGCACTTGCACTGCACTATTATTAGAATAGTAGAATAGAATGATATACAAATGGATGAAAATGATATATACATGTAACTGTTATATACAAATATTAATATAATATATAACAACAAACCAGAGTATACTGATTTGTATCACTACAATATAATAGTTATTACGGTGAGGTTGAATTCCCTGTCATTTATTCATCATCCACGCACGAATTTGTCTCAGAAAAAAATATATCTATGTACCTTAACTTCACTTTAAGGTATAGAGATGTGATTTTTTTTCTGAGACAAGTGCTTGTGACCATCCACAAGAACTTGCGATCATCCGATGTTCAGTACTTCAGTACTTTGATTAATCTTGTAATTATTTCTACTGGTGAAATTCAATGCATTCTTAAACATTTAAAATTTTTAAATTCCTATTTTTCTTTACGCTAATACTAAGGACAGCGGTTAGGACATCCTAGCTTAAATAGTACTAAGATAGCTTCGATGTGCATGCTGAGACATGCCGTAAGTCGGTCCTAACATTATCCTAATTTATTCCTAAGAGAGGTCTTAGGGCAAATCCTAGGACAGCTTCGATAAACAGGCCCAGGAGCCTATAATCCGGTGGTTGTCGTTGAATGCTGTCTGTCATAATGGTTTTTCGTTTATTGTTTATGGTCAATTAGTTATTTTCTACCTCATTTCATTCGTACTAAAATAAATATTTTCTGAACTAACTAAAATAAACAACAAACAAGAAAATTGGTTGTGCGTTCGTTACAAAGATCGCATAAATTTTATATAATGAACCAGTCAACAAAAAACAATAAAGATCATACATATGTATCAATGTCAACATGTTATATAATCACATAAGTATCAAGAGTACAAAGCTACTACTAAAAGGAGGGGGAGGGAGGGAAAGCTAACGCAAACAACTGGAATATTCTTATAATACGTCCTTTCCAACTTTGTAACAAACGTCGCATTAAACGAACGGACCCATACAAATTCCTTATATACCCTCAACCGAAACCACCCGTGCAAAAACATAACCCGCGAAAAATACCAAGTAAGGGAAACCCCCTTAATGACATAACGGAACGCAATGAAATAGATTAAATGGGATGTGTCACGGGTTTTGGTAAAATTTTGTATACAACTTTGGTTCGTTGAACTATAACTGAAAATTAATGCATTTATCTATTTTATTCTCTGAAATATTACTGAATGAATTCTTTCAAAATAGGTGAACATTTGTATACCAGAATTCAGTCAGTAATATTTCAGAGAACAAAAGAGATAACTGCATTATTTTTTCGATTTTCAGTTATAGTTCAACAAGCCAAAGTTGTATACGAAATTTTACCAAAATCCTTGACATAACCCATGTTCCTTGACCTTAAATATAAATCAGGCCATTTGTTTTCTGGAATAGTTATCCTCCGGTCGTCGGGGTGATCTTACACTGACACACCGCGTCCTCATGGGATAACGTTCTTATTTGTCTTATATCATCAAATCTCCAATTTCAAATCCATAGATTTTTCTTAAAAAATATAATTGGTGCCCATACATTAATTTCCGTTTTAATGATGTAAAATAATAATAGGGCCACCGACTTCGTTTAAACGGCGTAATTCATTCAAAGTGTTGTTCTGGGTGAAAAATTACCACAAAACGTCGAAATAAGCGTAACGTCATCGCGTTGTAAGCCGTAAAACGTCGATTTTTTTACGTTTTTCACTACCAACTAAGTAACCGATTGGTTAATACACCAAAAACGGAGTCGGTAACCATATGATTATTTCATATCATTTAAATGGAAATTTATGTATCAACAACATATACTGAGTTTTTTAAGAAAAATCTTTGGATTTGAAATTGGAGATTTGATGATTTTAAGACAAATTTAAGAACATTCTTCGCCGATTTTTGTGCTTTCTATATATATATACAAATGTTCACCTATCTTAGAAGAATTCAGTCAGTAATATTTCAGAGAATAAAAGAGATAACTGCATTTTTTTTTCGATTTTCAGTTATAGTTAAACAAGCCAAAGTTGTATACGATATTTTACCAAAATCCTTGACATAGCCCATTTACTGTTCCTTGACCATAAATATAAATCAGGGGCCGGTTTCACGAAGCTATCCTAAGACATGTCATAAGATATATCTTAGGACATGTCTTATGACCCTCTTATGACTATCCTAGGACATATCTCAGACCTCGCCTCGAAGCTGTCTTAGGATGATCTTAGCTAAGATATCCTAAACCTGTCGCAAGTTCTTTAAATTTTTAAATATTAACATGGATTCATGGAAAAATTCATGTAAATGTATTATGTGTTTCCAATAAATTACTTAACGTATTGATTAACATTCCAGAATTAGATATTTTGTAAAATTAATATAAAGCATTAGTTTAATTTATTTAAATAATCTATTAATAATACACCAATATGCATATAGAAATTCAAATAAAAATTTGAGAAAAAAAAAACAATAAGCTGATGATTATTTGATTTTGTACAAGTGAGTTGAATTCAAGTTTTCACTGTATCGGTTATAAAAAGGTTAAAGGATAAAATCGTGCATTTTTGATATAAATAAATCGAATGTTCATTGTTGATAAATCATTGTTGATAATCCGCCAACCTATAAAGATTTTGTTACGAGTAGAACAAGGAGATTAGATAATCAAATAATAATAACATAATTTGCAAAATAAATATAAAAAATAAGTGTAATTCATAAAAATAAACTTATGACTATCCTAAGACCATCATAAGACACCTCTCGTGTAGTCCTAACTTTATGACCAACTTTAAGAGATGTCCTAAATTAGGACCACTTTGTGAAACCCACTTAGGACTAAGATATGTCGTAAGACCATCCTAAGACATATCTTAGTCCTAAGACAGCTTTGTGAAACTGGCCCCAGGCCATTTGTTTTCTGTAATAGTTATCCCACTCGGACTTGGTGAGTCAGTGTAAGATCACCCCGACGGCCGGAGGCCGGAGGCTGATCTTACACTGACACACCAAGTCCGAATGGGATTACTATTTTACATCTCTTCTAGACTATATGAAAAAACATTTACGCTTCATAACATCTAGTTCAGAATGCCATACAATGATTATAATATACTTTATATATTAATATATCGTATATACCCTTTATGAGCCCCGGATACAACGTTTAAATATATTAAATAAATAGTGAGTTTGTATCCAGTCGTCCTGGTGTAGGGGTATGAATCGTGGCTTCGTATGCTAAAGGTCTTGAGTTCGATTCCTCGCATAGACACTGGAAATTTAGTGGATCCGACTCAGATCACCCCTGTTAGAACAAAGGAGTTGGGATGTAACTTTTGAATTGTTTCCCATTTCGTCATCCCGGGCATTATATTCCTTACCATACGGGATGAGTTTTGTTCATTGTTGAAGGCCATGTTTGTGAACTGTAGTTGTTACGTCTTTTGCTCCATCCTTGTGTCATTGACAACCATACCACATGTTTATTTTCATATTATTATTTATACGCCTGAAAAGTGTACAAGCAACAACAATATTAAAACTAGAGGCTCTCAAGAGCCTGTGTCGCTCACCTGTATTTACTGATGCTTTGGAAATTATGTAAAATAAGGTCAAAATCATAATTAATAGTATTAGATATTAGATATTATAATGATATCTAAGATGATAACAAAAAACTGCAAAATTTTTGTAAAATTACTAACTCAGGGGCAGCAACCCAACAACGGGTTGTCGGATTTGTCTGAAAATTTCAGGGCAGATAAATCTAAATCTGATGAACATTTTTGCCACCTGTCAGATTTGCTCTAAATGCTTTAGTTTCAGAGATATAAAACAAAAACTGCATTTTACCCCTATGTTCTATTTTTAACCAAGTCGGCCATGATGGTTGGAAAGCGGGGTCATTGGACAAATTTTTTAAACTAGATACCCGAATAATGATTATGGCCAAGTATGGTTAAATTTGTCTCAGAAATTTCAGAGAAGAAGATTTTTGTAAAAGATTACAAAATTTACAAAAAATTGTTAAAAATTGACTATTAAGGGCAATAACTCCTAAAGGGGTCGACTGACAATTTTGGTCATGACAACTTATTTGTAGATCTTACTTTGCTGAATATTATTGCTGTTTACAGTTTATCTCTATCTATAATAATATTCAAGATAATAACCAAAAACTGCAAAATTTCCTTAAAATTACCAATTCAGGGGCAGCAACCCAACAACAGGTTGTCAGATTTGTCTGAAAATTTGAGGGCAGATAGATCTGGACCTGAAAATCAGTTTTACCCTATGTCAGATTTACTCTAAATGCTTTGGTTTCAGAGATATAAGCCAAAATCTACATTTTACCCCTATGTTCTATTTTTAGCCATGGAGGCCAACTTGGTTGGTTGGCGGGGTCATCGGACACATTTTTTAAACTAGATACCCTAATGATGATTGTGGCCAAGTTTGGTTCAATTTGGCCTAGTGGTTTCAGAGGAGAAGATTTTTGTAAAAAGCTAACGACGACGGACGACGACGACGACGACGACGACGACGACGACGACGGACGACGGACGACGGACGACGGACGCCAAGTGATGAGAAAAGCTCACTTGGCCCTTCGGGCCAGGTGAGCTAAAAACGAAATTCATTGACTAATATCTAGATGTCTTATATATATTTCCGTTCATCCGTTAACTTACCTTATAGTTGTAATAATGAGGCACACTAAGCTAATTAGGAAAACAGTAAGGCCAGCATTTGGTTTTGAAGTCGTCGTCGTTACTTTTGGTGAGATTGGAAATTGTTTAGGACAGTATTTATTCAACTCTTTAGTAGAACATTTCTTGGTAAAGTTTTTACAGTCCGTGCAATTTACGAACTTATCACAAAAATCTTTTTCAAATAGGAAGCAATTGTTATATACTAATAACGCCACTTTGCAGTCACATTTGTTCATGTCACATTCAAACAGACTAAATTTGAATTCTTGAGGTGGACATATTATAGACCCTAGCTTTCCAACAGTTGTCACGTGTCCTTCAAAATAAAAGGGTGGCGCTGATAGCATAATCTGAAATTCATCAAAGAATATATATAATAATTGCAATCAGTCGTACGGAACGAGGACTTTAAATCCGATGTCACGTGTAGAGAAAGTGCTGCTCGCTCTTCTCTTTAAATAACACTTTCAACAACTCGTTGAGAGGGTGTATGTGTCTTGTTTATAAGGCAAAATTTGTGCTCCTATCGAACATAGCAATATGCCAGTGGTAGTCGATTTGCCACGAGACGCTAATCAAAAACCAATTTATCAATCAATCAATCATGTAACAACTTACAAGACAGCAAAGGGTATGTATTGTTTGGTTCATTTAACTCGATAAATCGAAAGGAAACGTTTTCCGTGTATTCGTGTATTCATATTTACATCGGCTGTGTGATAAATAAGGAAAATTTTGGTGTCGATAAAGGTGCTTGTGTTTAAAGCAATTTATAAACTTGTGAAGCAGAAACGATAGAAAAGTAACTCTGCTTATGATAAAGGTAACAAAATAAATAGTTTGTTTACGTCAGTAACAGTAATACTCATCAAAATTATTTCGAAACCATTATAGTATAGAATTAAAAAATATTATCTGTTAAACTATGTTATTTGAAATGTATATGCGAATGGGTGAACCATGCGAATGCATACTTTATTCTTTTCATTATTTATATATTGAATCGTTCACCTGTATTTCAGAGGAGAAAATTTTTAAATGTTAGCAAACTTGATGAACAAATTGTGTAAAATTGTCTTTAAAGGGCAATAACTTCTTAAGGGGTCAATTGACAATTATGGTCATATTAACTTTTTTGTAGATCTTACTTTGCTGAACATTATTGCTGCTTACAGTTTATATATATCTATAATAATATTCAAAATAATAACACAAAAATGAAAAATTTTGTTAAAACTACCAATTCGGTGGCAGCAACCCAACAATGGGTTGTTCGATTCGTCTGAAAATTTCAGGGCCGATAGATCTTGACCAATTAAACAATTTTACCCCGTCACATTTGCTCTAAAAGATTTAGTTTTTGAGATATAAGCCAAAAACTGCATTTGACCCTTATGTTCTATTTTTAGCCATAGCGGCCATGTTTGTCGATGGATACAAACTTCGGATACAATTTATAAACAAGATACCCTAAGGAACATTTAGTTAAAGTTTGAAGGTAATTGGCCCAGTAGTTTCAGAGGAGAAGATTTTGAAATGTTAGCAAACTTGATGAACAAATTGTGTAAAATTGTCTTTAAAGGGCAATAACTCCTTTAAGGGGTCAATTGACAATTATGGTCATATTAACTTTTTTGTAGATCTTACTTTGCTGAACATTATTGCTGCTTACAGTTTATATATATCTATAATAATATTCAAAATAATAACAAAAAACTGCAAAATTTTGTTAAAACTACTAATTCGGTGGCAGCAACCCAACAATGGGTTGTTCGATTCGTCTGAAAATTTCAGAGCAGATAGATCTTGACCAATTGAACAAATTTAACCCATGTTAGATTTGCTCTCAAAGCTTTAGTTTTTGAGATATAAGCCAAAAACTGCATTTGACCCCTATGTTCTATTTTTAGCCATGGTGGCCATGTTTGTCGATGGATCAAAACTTCGGATGCAATTTATAAACTAGATACCCTAAGGAACATTTAGTTTAAGTTTGAAGGTATTTGGCCCAGTAGTTTCAGAGGAGAAGATTTTTGAAATAGTTTACGACGACAGACGACGACAGACGACGACGGACGCCAAGTGATGGCATAAGCTCACATGGGGCCCTTTGGGCCCCGGTGAGCTAAAAAATGAAAAATCAGCAATTGAAAAAATCATGTGTCACTAAAGCGACAGTTATTTCCATACGACAATTTTCAGAGTGTTCCACATATTCCTTATCATAGTACATTTTCCTAACATCTGGCTATGTTTTCAAGCACTACATTCCAATATAAAATATTATATTCGTGTAAAACATAATGTTTTAAATGTAATGTTTGTTCAAGTTAAAACATGAAATGAAAGTATTTTTAGAAGAACGATTATCCGTTTACCGTTTTTCAATTTATTAAATGAGCGGTTTTCTCGGTGTATTCTTTATAAATATCATATTAAGGTCCGTTTGAATCTGCCAGGTATTCAAAAGAGTTAGTCTTTGCTGCATATCAATCAATTATGTTAATAAAGATTTCTAGTAGCGTCCTCGCGGAGAACATACAAAACATTAAAGAGCTCAATTTCTCAGCATTTGGCATTTAGATTTTCCTCGAAAAGGTATCATTTCGCAGATTTTTCAGATGAGTTATATGGGATTATTTTATCTTAAATCTCAGTTCGTTGTTTTCTCGTGTGAACTCACTCATTTTAAAATAAAAGAAATTCCAACTGTTTATGTAAGATGTGCGGTTTTGACGTGACGATTGATACCGCGGTGTTTTTGCGTTTTTAAGTCGTTGCGATTGATACCTCGGTGATTTTTTCTCTTTTGGTTGGAATATACCAAATAGAATTGACAGCTGTAATCTACTGTTGACTCTTACTTGCTATTCACATCTAAATAATCATCATCCGATTTATTCACTGACTTTTTCGAAACTAAATATTCAACAATTGAGAGAATTGAATAAATATGTATATACACTTACACCAAGATATCATTTAATGAAATTGGATTCCCCTCATTTATCATGCTTTTCAATAACACATGGTCAAATCTCTGAAAGATCCCCCTTCTAAATTATTGAAAACCATCATTCTGCATTGACAATTTTTCGTTCCCTATTGTTATTTTTCCTTTTTTGGACGGTTCCTTTTGGTACCATCTTACTGTGTTTATATATCACAACTCGTTCGCTATGCCCGTGTCTTATGTGACGTTTAATATGGAAAGCCTCAGCTGTCATATATTAGAGATTTACAAATCGTTATGCTGAAGCTTAAAATGTAAAGTTAAGACAGCGTGATGTTGAATTGAGTCATCAAAATGCTAACTCTAAATTACAATATGCTAAGTTGAATCTGCACAATGTTGACTTGCAATGACAAGTGCTTTAGTCGTGATAGTATAATGATAAGTCACGATGTTGTGATGATATGCCAAACACACGTAATGTTGGGTTTAAAGTACATAATGTGAAGTTGACGTTGCATGATGTTAGCTTGCAGATGGATACTGCTCAGTCATACACTTCGACAGCTATGATAACAAATAAAATGAATAGCTAAAATGTATGGTGCTGACTTGTTATTAATAAATGTTGAGCTGAGAATGTACGATGTTATATCATTGTGATATTACGATAGGTCTATCATGCAATCTGTTGATTTAAAACATCATGATGCACAGTTGAAAGTACATGATGGTAAGTTGAGATAACACGATGTTACACCACTATATTGAAACGAAAGGCTTACCATACACTTTGTTGACTTAAAACAACACGGTGCAACGTGTTAAGCTAAGATGCTCACTTGAAATTACACGACGTACAGTTGAAATTTTGTAATGTTAAGCTACGATAGCACGATGTTATATCATTATAATGTCACAATAGGCTTATTATACCATTTGCTCATTTAAAACTACACAACGTACAGTTGAAAGTACGTGATGTTAAGCTAAGATAGCACGTTGTTATATCATTAGAATGTCACTATAGGCTTACCACACGATATGCTCATTTAAAACTACATGATTTTCAGTTGAAACTAGGTGATGTTAAGCTAAGATAGCATGTTGTTATATCATTTGAATGTCACGATAGGCTTACCATACAATATGCTCATTTAAAACTACACGACGTACAGTTGAAAGTATGTGATGTTGAGCTATGATAGCACGATGTTATATCATGATAATATCACGATAGGCTTGCCATACAATATGCTCATTCAAAACTACACGACGTACAGTTGAAAGTACGTGTTGTTGAGCTAAGATAGCACGATGTTATATCATTATGACGTCACGAGAGGCTTATCATACAATGTGTTGACTTCGAACTACACGATGTAAATTTGAAGTAGTTTGGTCTTGACTTGAAACAGTAAAATGTTAAGTTATAAAAACAGAACGTAAAGTCAAAATAAAACAATGACAGGATGAATATACTTGTGCAGAATTGAAGATTTTTGGTGTTGACTTCGAATATAGTACAAATATTAGATCGTTTTATGTTAAATTGAAAGACAATAACGATGCGTAAAACATTACAGAATTATGTGAATTGAAACTGCAATTTTATGGAAAAAAAAGAGGGACAAATCCCCAGGATTTTTTCTTCTTCATTTGCAAGTTGATGAATATTAATGAAATTTAACTCCGGATGTAAAATGATATACAAAGAAAGTTTTCCATAAATTCATAAAGCAAAAGAATTACCCATCGCTATATATTACACTTGAATACAGTTTTGCCGTATATTTTACATGTTTTGTTTGGATTTTTTTTATGATTAAAATTTAAGAAAATATTTATCTATGTTGTGTGTTAATATATACAACATAATATTGTGCTTATAAGACTTATGACTGTGAGGGTCAAATTTTACTCATATAAAATCACATCTATGTAAGAGTTATCGGAGAAATTGTATTTACTACTCCCGTTTTCCACGAAATAGAACATAAGAATCTGGAGTCTTAATCTTAAAAAACAAAGATCAACTGATATGACAAATAATACGCTTAGCGTAGGACTGAGAGGGTCGGAGCTATATAAGAATGTGACCCCCGGTCTTGTTAGAGGTATCTGAAAATTTGAATTTTCTTTTTCACGAAATAAAACAAAAGAATCTAGACTTAATCAAAAGCGATGCGATTACGATTTCCATAGAATGTCAGAGACGGTTTTTCGACTAGTTCCGCGTTGAAAATTCGGCTAGGCAAGTAAAGTATGCATGTCTTGTAACAAAGCAGGTTTTATTCATATTCATATCACACTTACATGTTCTCGTCCTGATATACATGTAATATTTGCCACTGTACGCGTAAAACGTACCCCTTTTCCCCGAAATAAAACCAAAAA